TTTGTCGTCGTCTCTCGCTGGGAGCTGTGCTGCTGTGCCTTAGCTGTTCTCCTGTCTTTAGGAAAGCCTCCTGAAAGCATCTGTAATGTCTAAAAACTGAAAAATTAAAGACAAAGATTTGTTGTGAACGCCTTAGAAATGATCTCGGTGGTTTTAAAGAACAATTTCTAAAAAATAAAAACAATCTCCCTTTAGTTTGTGTCTGAGCTCATGTCGTACGTTCATGTTCAGAGTCGCTGCAGCTTTGTATTTACTGATGTTTTTCATTTTCTTTTGGTTTTAATTCAGTTTTGTTTTATAGTTTTTTTAATAATGTATGGAGGCGTGTGTCAGACACCAGATTTAGGAAAATCAGAGCTGTTACAATAAAAAATAAAAACTGTTACATTTTCTGTCTGTTAACATCCTTCAGCGCCTCATCAGGAAAATTGTAATAACTTTATCAAACATATGAAAACTTACGATATTTACTGTTTTTTGTTTTTTAATTGTTTTAAGTCACAAGAATTGTTTCAATTTTACAGACTAGTTTTATTTTAACTGTTTTTTTTCCAATCTAGTCTCAGTTGAACATAATGGCCTTGAATTGATCTTCAGTAAAATCAGGATTTGAGGTTTGCTGATTGAAAACACTTATAGATCTGCGTTGCCCTGTGGAGGCAGGGCAGAATGATTATCTGCCTCTGAACTCTGCCTACAATCAGAACTACAATTCCTCTTCCAGGTACGACACTTCATCATCATCCTCCTCAAATTCACCACCACTGACACTATTACTGCTGTGCTACAGAAGCCAAGGTAAAAATCCTCTCCCCGCCTGAGATGACCTGATTTCTCAGGATCCAGAAGGATTTGCTGATCCTGATCAAACAGTTTCCTTATTTGTATTTTGTCAGTTTGTCTAAAAAATAAAAATCCTTTGAAAAAGAATAATGATGTGTGATCAGCTCTCCTGGATCCTGTCATCCTTGGTCCAAGTATCTACTAAAGCACTTTGAATACAACTTCCAGTGATGCTGTTAATAACAATAATCACAGGAGCTCCTCAGTGAGGGTCAAATAGCGCACAGATGTTGAGGATTTCAAATCAGCAGTGAATGAAGAACAGCCAGAGGAGATGAGGGCTGTGTCCCAATTCAGGGTCTGCAGCCTTAAAGGCCGCATTTTAAGGCCGATTACGTCACCGCGACGCGATGAAGGCTGTCCCAATTCAAAGGCTGCTCGAAATGCGGCCCTCAAATGCGTCCTTCATTTCCCTGAATTTTAAGGACGTGGC